TTGATTCAATTTGTGCTTGCAGTCTGTGTTTAATCAGCATCTGATTAACTAAGACAGTAACAGCAGTGCCTGGGACTGACTTGCAGGCATATTTAGCAAATGAAGAGCTTAGGAGAATGTAGTTTAAGAAAAGAATGAGATCACCATTCTTCAAACAGAAATGGAAAAATGCTATATCAAAAGACTCATTAGTGAAGAGCCACAGTTCAGCTCTGCCTGTGATATACTGTCTAATGCTCAATAAATGGCAAAATAATCTAAACTTGGAGCCCTGTGTATATTTTTTATAGAATATGGGCCATTAATCTGTAAAGAAAAATGAGAAAGAAAAACAGAAAATGAAACTGAAAATAACAATGGAATGATACAGTAAGATTCAGGAAAAAAAAGGGCAGAAAAGCATGTTTAGCAGAACCTCGGTGCACCAGATTGTTGTTTAAATAGCATACTGTGCCCAGATGCAACGGATGTCCTATTAAAAAAAACAGATGACATGAAGCAAAATGAGCCATTAAGCATAAACAACTCCCTATCCCCCCAGTGCAAAGGTGAAATCACTGACCAACGCTTGGTTGCTAATGTTACCAAAACAAACATGCTACTGTAGCTTTAGATGCTAATGCATCCAGAAGGAGGAATGCCACATCGGAATCAAATTTGAGTCAATCCCCGCTGACATTGAATGAGATGTGGGGTACACACTGGGCAGGTCACCAATCATAGGGCTTGCAAGAGAACAATTACATTTTTTAGCAAGACATGCTGTTGGAGGTTGTTTAATTTTATCTAAATCTAAAATCCCAGCAATTCAATGTACAGTAAGATATCAAACTGTGGAATTTAGTTGCATGTTTTTTACAAAATAATAATAATGGTTTAAAAATGTATTGGCCACTATTTCAGGAGACATTTTGGAATTTAAGTTTGTTATACATAAAAGTTTCTATAGGCATGCCATATTAAATTATGATTGATTCATTCAGTCTTGTGTTTGTAGGGATGTAAATTGTGTTAAATGTCATTGTCCTATTAATGATTTATTGTGATTGTTATGTTAGTGTATTGTGATGTGTAGTGAGAATGTCTGAGGTTGAGGCTGAGGCTATGGTGCAGCTAATGGGGGTCTAAATAAACAAACTAGCCACAACGATGTCATAGTGAGAGACAGTGGAAGAGCTGATTTGGTGCTGCGACCTCAAGCCTTATCATTTGTGTTTCTTTTTAATGACATTATCCGCAAATAGTTGATGTCAACTCAACTTTCATAATAGAAATTTGGACTAAAAAATGAAAAAAAAGGAAGTTATCCAACCCATAATTGTTACTAGGCAGTTGCAAATAAAGTCAGCAAAAAGCCTTATTTTTGTTTAAGAGGTTCCATTTATGTCAAAGATTTTTAATAAACAGTGGCAAGAAAAAGTATGTGAACCTTTTGGAATTTCGTAGTTTTCTGCATTAATTTGTCATAAAATGTGATCTGATCTTCATCTAAGTCAAGTATTGACAAATACAATGTGCCTACAAAACACATACAAATTCTGATCTTTCATGTCTTTATTGAAGACACTCATTCAACATTCAAAATGGTAATGAAAAAAGTAAGTGAACCCCTGGAATTAATAACTGGTTTTCTGAAGCCATTCTGTTGTGGACTTGCTCCGGTTTTTTGGGTCATTGTCCTGTTGCATCACCCAACTTCTACAGAGTTTCAGCTGATGTACAGACATTCTCACATTATCCTGAAGACTTTTTTGATACACTTGGGAATTCATCTTGCAAGCTGGCCAGGCCCTGATGCAGCAAAGCAGGCCCAAATCATGATGTTTCCTCCACCATACTTTACGGTTGGGATGTTTTCATGATGATATGCAGGGCCCTATTTATGCCATATGTAGTGCTGCGTGTTCTTTTCAAATAGTTCAATCTTAGTTTCATCAGTCCACAAAACATTTTGCCAATACAGCTGTGTCAATGTGCTCTTTCACAAACTTCAGGTGTGCAGCAATGTTCTTTATAGTAAGCAGCAGCTTCCTTCCTAGTGTCCTGCCATAGACAATCTGCGTGTTCAATGTTTTATGTACTGTAGACTCATGAACATAGATGTTATCCAGTTCCAATGATGCCTTCAAATCTTTGGCTGTCACTCAAGGTTGTTTCTTTACCTCATTGATGAGTCTTCGTTGTGCTCTTGGGGTCATTTTGACTGGATGCCCACTTCTTGGTAGAATAGCCACTGTCCCAAAGTGTCTCCATTTGTAGATCGTTTGCCTAACTGTAGACTGGTGAATTTCTAAAGTCTTTGAAATCACTTTGAAACCATTTCCAGCTTCATGTAAATCAACAATTTTTGATCATAGATCCTCTGAAAGGTCTTTTTGGTGAGGAATGGCTCACATAAGCATATTCTTCTTGTGTGGAGCAAACTCAAAAGGTTTGAGTGGTTTTCATCAGTCAAAGTAGCTCTAGTCCACACCTCCAAACTAATTTTCTTAACAAGACTCCAGGTATACTAACACCTGACTCCAATTAGCTTTTTTGAGGCCATTAACTCAAGGGTTCACATACTTTTTCCACTAGCACTGTGAGGTTTTTATGGTTGTTCTCAATAAAGACATGTGTTATTACTTTAGGCACATTATATTTGTCAATACTCTTGACTTAGATGAAGATCAGATCACATTTTATCATAACAATGCAGAAAACAATGAAATTCCAAAAGGTTCACATACTTTTTCTTGCCACTGTATATGTGTTAAATTCAAAATTCCTCTTCACATTATTTCTGAGAAGGTTTGGTATCATAATTACCTGTTCATGATGGCTTTGTAATTTCATCCTTGTAGGATTTATTAAGAGAGCAGCTATTTTTGTCCTGGTCTTATAAGGTTACAAGGCCCTTAATAGATTGGAATGAAACTGTATTTGACACTTTAAATACCTTCTTCTTTTTAGCTGATGTTTCCAAGTAACAATATTTTACAGACAAATTAACAGTACAGTCCTGTCCACAACTTCAGGTTTCCTTGTTACAAATGATATATATTCAGTGGCAGATATGTTCTTGAAAGTGTTTTCAGATTCCTATGAAAATCACCCATGATCACATTTTCTAATTTGTCTTACATATTGTCTAGCTCATTCTCAATGGTGCTTTTTACAATTTATGGGAAAAGGACAAAAAAATTAAAGATAAGCACAGACACTCACTTTTTTTGTAAAGGTTTTAAATTTTTTTACAGTATTCCTCAACATGATCATAGGGATAGAAACATAAAAGAACAATAAATAATTAATAGAACATAAAAGAGTCTCATGACACCTTAGAACACTGGCAAAAAATCTTTCCGGTGTTTCTCTTTGGATACATGTGAGACTAATATCGGGGCAAGAAAGTGGATTTTTTCCCCCCTCTCTCGAACGCTTTTGGCAAGGATTTGCAAAACCGTGCAACATAAAATAGAAGCCTTCTACTTGCTGGTTAATACAAGCTATTATTTAAAAACATCCAGTATCACTACAGAATATGGACTTTTTTGTATTTTCCCATACAAAAGAAGAGCAGGGGGAAAACGAGTAAAATGTTCAAATTCAAATGAGATGTCAAAGTCCTGGCTGGAAATGTCCACTCTGTCATCTCTTGGTACAAGATTGGAATTGAATGACTATTTTGATCTCTGACATTCCAGTGCAGTGTTGTTGGATCTTAGAGAACTGCATCAGCCAAAATGAGAGAGCAAGTTGTGTATGTGGCATTACTGTTGTGTTTTCTAACACAGAGACACTTTGGTATGGACTAAGTATCAGATTTGGTAGCAATACTAACAAATATCCTGTAAAGCTATGAAGATCCTTACACCTTTTGTATTTCTGGACACATTTTGTGCTTTTTCACCTTTAAATTTCCATTAAAGTTGCACAAATCTATGTGGGCTTAAAGAAGCACCATTATTTTAAAGACATATCTGAAAAGGGTACCGCAGAAATAGATATGGAATGTCCTCCGTTTAAATAATAGCATGTGTGTAAAATGTAATCTGAAATCCAATTTCTATCTCTCATTCATTTGTTTACAGCCCACTCATAGTGTAGCCTCAAGTTTCAGGCTTAGTAGTTAAAGTCAGATAAGAACAAGAGTGATCAATAATGTAATTTAACATGTGCTTTAATGTCTGTCCATTGACCAAAATTATAAGTTCTCCTCTGTGGTAATGTTTATCATACTGTCCACATTTTTAAATGCTGGAAATACATGCACATGCTCTAATCTATAAATAAAACATTCACCCATTAAAAAACATCTCACAGGTCATTTCCCTCTCCTTGATGCATTCTAAGGAATAAGATGGGGCATACAGAATTGCATAAATAGCATCTTCTCAGGCCACCTGAAAGGCTGTACTCAAGTGCATCAAAGTACTTGAAAAGAAATTAAATTGTTTGGTGGTGCTTGACAACTTATCAATAGTAGTAGGGGGATTTACGGGATGCAAAACACTAGCAGACGGCGCTAAGATTCTGCAAATAACAAGAACGGTTTTGCTGGACTCCCCAGCAGATGGAGAAGAAAACAAACCTGGCTGCTACATTTCCTAGTTGCTAAGTACCACCTGGAGTTAATGAATGTGTTGTCGGCCTAATAGGATTATAAGACAAGAGCTAAAGCCCAAATGTCTATGAAGAAGACATATTACAAAGTGCAGGTTTGTTGCTTGTCCTTGACATGGGTCATCCTGGCAAGTAGATGTACTCATGAACATGCTGTATGTATAGGCAGACAGACCTAAACACTGATGACCACAACAAGATATGCATACAACATACAGTACCCCTAAGGCACCTTATATCCATGGAGTTGTTGAGGTAAAGGCATTCCGTGTTATGCTTTAATACTGTATGTAAGTATGGACTGTATAGTGCAGTACTTTGATTTATTTTGAAGTCTGAGGGAAAGGTCATGTTTGGTACCTTTCAGGCAATGTTTTCAAAGAGAAACAGCTCACCACACATCCAGTAGAGTCCACCTTTCGGTCAGATATGCAGCGGAAGTTGCGGCTGGTCTCTGACTGGTCCAAAAGAGTCCAGGAGAACCTCCAAAGAGTCAAAGGATGAACTGATCATCAATTCCTCTCTGAGATGGAATAAAAAGAATGACAAAGAGAATTGTTGTTTAGCTGCAGCTGTGAGCATGTTTGTGTTTTTATTGTTGATTTGGGTTTTGAGAATACAGCGCACAATTTAAGCATGGTAAGTAAATTAGTGTTTCACATGTGTTGCACCTCTGATCACACCTAGCATCTTTGTTAGGTGTGGCTGTGTGTGTGTTCAAATGTGTTCTCTGTTATCCAGTAACTACACCCAATAGTTACACTATCATGTGCTAACCAGTGTTGGGCCGTATTATTTTCCCCAGTAATAAGTAGTGCAAAAAGTTACAAATAAAATTTCTTTTACAATACTACAGTTAGTTCCTCCAAAAACAGCTTGTTACTTTTGTTGTCACTGTGGCAAAGATTGATTTGAAATCCAACATTTTATATTTATAGTCGTTGTGTGTGTACACATCACTACACGTCACTATTAGTAGCACCATAAGCAGTAAGCTAGCTTGGAAGATGGAAGTGCCTACATTCGGCAACTGGAAATAGGTGGTGTGATTTTCTAGCCTATAACAGCAAAAAAGCCTGCTAGTTTGAAACCTTAGTGCACTTACTGGTGATTATTTTTTGAGTAACGAGCTCAACACTGGTGCTAACACACCATATAATATACTTATTGTATGGTGTGTCAGCACTGCAGTGGGGTAAAAGGCTGAATCACTAGAGGTTAGCAAAAAGATGTTCAGCTGCTGTTAAGTTGCTCTGTAAAGGTACAATAGCTCTTAGGACCATATTGCCAGCATCTGTGAAAGCAAATATTAGGAGAGAAACAAATACAGTATAAATCAATGGAAACATCACAGTTGGAGGAACTGCTCACAGAGGTGTAAAAACTCATTTTTCATGAAGGCATGCAAATTTGCATTGATCAATGGAAAGCTGCCTTGACAGTGCTGACTTTTGAGAGAATGAAGCAAAATAAAGGAAATTAGACCTCATATTAGGGATGTTGTACTATGCAATTTTACATAATCCTGCTTTGCTCGGTTTGGAGTAGTGAGATAAGAGCTGATGGTTCAAATATGTATTTGGTTAACACTAATGGTTTTTCAGCTTAGCAGCTGGACTGTACATCACCATTGATAGATAATGAAATTAAACTTGTAACATTTTGAGCACATGGACAAATGCAGTCAGAGGTCTGACTTTAATGGTTATAGCTTTTAATGATGTTATTGTTTTTCCTTGCCTCTGCAAAGCACTTTGAATTGCCTCTGTTTATGAAATGTGCTTTGGCTATATGCAGTTCACAATGCCGTACATTTATCGCCACCATTCATTTTTTTCTTTATGTCATAAAGGTTAATAATTATCAATAATGTTTCAATGGTGAATTTAATTTGAGTTTCAGTGTGTTTAGGGAAAATCTGTAACTGTTAAAGCACTTGCATACTGACACTTTGGTCTCTGTTTAACTTATCAATTTTACAAATACCTGCATGTTTAATTTATTCTGTGTAATCATCACGACAAGAGCTATAACTTTTCCCAGTACACCTGATTTACAAAGCAGTAGACTTATGAGATAAAAATGTACTGTGAATTCATTGCTCAAAACGTGCTCTGAGCAGTCACTTTGTGTTCCAGAGATTTTTTTTCTTTTTTGGCTTCCTTGTAAACCTTTTGCAAGATCAGTAAGCAGATCATCTAACCGAACGACAAATAAGCATTTGAGATTGGCAGAATTGACAATTCAGAGTGGACCTCAGTGTTTTTTCACAGGAGCTTATTCTGCAGAGGAATAGTGCTGATGATAAACAAGAATGTGTGTAAAATCATCGCCATGAACTTTGCCTTAAAGAAAATTATGCCCTCTCAGGCACTCATGAAAACATTTTTCTCCAACTTCACACAATTTCCTGCTTTCCCTGAGAGAAGAGATAGCAAGTTTCCTTCCCTTTCACAGTCAACTTGATAATATCTAATAAGCCAATTTTTCAATGATAATTTCCCATTGCTTTGTTGTCATTTACTCAAAGGGGACCTATTGAACAGAGCCTCGGAAGATGATGAAACCCACAGCAAGCGAAAATGCTAAATTATTTGGGTGTTCCAATTATAGTAAGGACATGTCCGCAGATTGTGTACAGCACAATTAAATGTTACACAAGACAAAAAAATTAAGCTTAGACAAAAGTTCAGTAAGGAAGAGCACTATACCCTAAACTACAGTCTTATGCAAAAGTTTAGGCACCCCTTGATAAATAACAGATTTTGGTGATTTTTTATTTGAACAGATGTTAACACAGTTTCTCTTGGAAATGGAAAAAATGCACAATATTTTCTGCAAACAGTGATGCATAGTTACTTCTTATGCCATAAATTGAACAAAAATAAAAAATAAAAACATTATTATGGCATGGTGCAAAAGTTTGGGCACCCTAAGAGTTCCAGAGTCTCAAAGTCTCTCACAAGGTATCAGACCTTAATCAGCTCGTTAGATCTGATGCACAGCAACAGCTGTCATTGGTAAATGCCAATTTCAAAGCTGTACAAATACTTTGACTCTTCAAACCTTGTGCACACACTTGTGGACACCCAGCAACCATGGGTTCCTCTAAGCAGCTGTGTAAGACCCTGAAAATGAAAGTTATTGATGCCCACAATGCAGGAGAAGGCTACAAGAAGATAGCAAAGCGTTGTCAGCTTGCAGTTTCCACAGTAAGAAATGTAATTAAGAGATGGCAGATCAGGGGAACTGTGGAGGTCAAGATGAGATCTGGAAGACCAAGAAAACTCTCGGACAGAACTGCTCGTATGCTGGTCAGAAAGACAAATCAAAACCCCCATTTGACTGCAAAAAACCTGCAGGAAGATTTAGCAGACTCAGGAGTGGTGGTGCACCGTTCCACTGTGCAGCGATGCTTGCACAGACAAGGCCTTCATGGAAGAGTCAGCAGAAGAAAACCTTATCTGCGTCCCCATCATAAAATCCAACGTCTGAAGTATGCAACAGGACATCTACAGAAGCCCGATGCGTTTTGGAAACAAGTGCTGTGGACTGATGAAGTTAAAATAGAACTCTTTGGACACAATCAGCAAAGGCATGTTTGGAGAAAAAAAGGAGCAGCATTTCATGAAAAGAACACCTTGCCAACTATTAAGCATGGGGGTGGATCTATCATGCTCTGGGGTTGTGTTGCAGCCAGTGGCACAGGAAACATTGCACGGGTGGAGGGAAGAATGGATTCCACTAAATACCAGCAAATTCTGGAAGCAAACATCACACCATCTGTAAAAAAGCTGAAGCTGAAAAGAGGATGGCTTCTACAACAGGACAATGATCCTAAACATACCTCGAAATCCACTATGGAATACCTCAAGAGACGCAGGCTGAAGGTTTTGGAATGGCCATCACAGTCCCCTGATTTAAACATCATTGAAAATTTGTGGGTAGATCTTAAAAGAGCTGTGCATGCAAGACGACCAAAGAATATTACAGAACTAGAAGCCTTTTGCAAGGAAGAATGGGAGAAGATCCCAAGTACAAGAATTGAAAGACTTTTAGCTGGCTATGAAAAGCGTTTGCAAGCTGTGATATCTGCCAGAGGAGGTGTTACTAAGTACTGATTGTGTGCTAAAAACACCAAGTGTCAGAAGTGAGATTTGAAACCCAGTGTTTTTAACAAACACACTGTCTTGATGACGGTAACGGTTACACACAAATTTCACATTCTGATTTATTCAAGGTGATGGTGATTATCCCAAATGTGTTTTTTCTAACTTTTCCATCCCCTGAAAACTAGGTCCCACTGAGGTTTGAACTTGGATCACTATATTCAGAGCCTAGAGTACTAACCATTACACCATGGGACCATTATGTACACTAGCAGACCGCTGTGGGACACTTTCTAGCGGGACACACACAAGCTGAGTTTCTACTATTGGAATCTAATGAGCAGTATACCCCAAACTTCACTCTGCATAACCTCCCAGGATGATACAGACTGTTTTTCTGCTGTATTTTCTCTGTGTCAGTCTTTGTTTGTTTCAAAGTGTTTATTTGTCATATGCACAGTTAGGAAACGTGTTTCTCTGTACAATGAAATTCTTACTTTGCCGTCCACATGAATGCCACAAAATACAAATGAAATATAAAGTAGATAAATAAGTAACACAAAAGGCACTTTAAGCAGCAAATACAGCAAAATAATAAAATATAAGAATATCCATCCATCCATCCATCCATCCATTTTCTTTCGCTTAGCCGGGACCGGGTCGCGGGGGCAGCAGTCTAAGCAAAGATGCCCAGACTTCA